TGCATGCCAACTATGGTCTGTGTTTTAACCCTGTCACATACAGAAGTTGTACATTTTCTCTGAGCCCTCCACTGAAAAAGTAATTATCGCCTGTAAACATAATTATAATGCATGGAAGGAGTTTCATTTCTATTGGTATTATTTATACCAGTATTATTTTAAACTCTTTTCGTTTCTTCACTGCAGATTAACTTTGGTCTCTGCCCTTTTCTTTCTTTAATATACCGTCATACATGTTTTTCTTCATTCTCGGTGACATTTGTGGTTAACAGGATAGTACAGTCTGATATATGTAGATGGGTGACACAGAGAGACTGGTGCCACGTCCAAAAAAGTATTCTAAGCAAGTGGCATTAAAAAAACAAGACACGGAACATGCATAAATAGACACACACCTCTGTACTTTGCAGAGGAGTCACAGCACACATTATGCAAAAGTCAGTGCCTGTTTTGTGTATCATCTGCGGTACAACTGTGGTGACAGGCTTCTTATGACAATTATACCCTTGCTGCAATCGAGCCGATTGACAGTGCTGCTTTAATTAGCCAAATTAAATAGGAGTTTGTGCTCACTTCGCTCATGACTCCTTACTGATAATTAAAAGCGATGTGTCCAGAAACCACACGCATAAGCATACTGCATGGCTGACTAAAAATAATAGTAGCGTGTGCCATTATTTTACAGTGAGAGATTTAAGTCGTTTTTATGGATGTGGATACCGCAGCAGTGACCGGGTCAAAGGGTTAGCTTGTTATGTGTGCTCAGACTTACACATACACAGCGTCTCCTCTGAGCGTTTTCTCTTGAGTGACTCGGAGCAAAAGGCCATCAATAGCATCAGTGTTTGTATCCAAACTTGGGGACTCGGCCAGGGTTAACAGGCTTTTGGTCCGCACCAAGTCGACCCCCTGAGGTAATAGGAAGCAGCTGACCTGAGACCTCGGAGAACTGCACCTTACAGCCTGGTGCTCTGACTAATGACCCCTTGTTTTCATAGCAAGCTGAGTGCATGGGTGTTACATGTGGCCTCAATAGAACATGTTTGTGCACACACACACACACACACACACACACACACACACACACACACACATATGGTCAGATGAAAGGAATCTCACCCTCCATTTAACAGCAAATGCTTTGGAGAGTGTTAAATGTGACCTCAGTTGTCTGCAGTCATTGTGGGATGATGCACTATGTGTCATTGGCATTTTTAGGCGGAGCATTGTATCCTGTTTAGGCCAGATGTTGGGCTTGTGATACAAATATACTGATGAGGCATAGGTTTCTTTATAAGCCGATTTTCTTCATTGCCCAATTCTGCATCTACCGCTTCAGAGGAAGTGTAATCATTTCATCACTTTCTCGCTCATATTATCTCTTGTATTACAGTGGGTTTTTACTGATGCTGAGCTTGTATTATTTTCTAAAATGAATGTTTGGTTTATCAGTTAAACTGAGCATTACTTTCAATTTGATAATGTTTGGTCTCATATCCTGAAAGGAAATAGAAATACCAGTACTCAGTAACAAGTAACAGTAACAAGCCAAACAGTCCACAGCCACGCTAGCGGGTCTGTGAGGCTGTAATGTCCAAGGTACAAAACAAACAAACTGTAATGTAAGTAAGTATTACAAGCCAAGCCACAATGCCAACCTTCTGATGGCGCTAGAGAAAACGTCATTAGGATACATCATCTGGGGAACATGAATGTCTGTACCAAACTTTGTCAATCCATTTGGTAGAAAATGTTGACCCACTAGTGGTGCTAGAAAAGTCAGGTGATCACCAAAGTCAACACAAATGTCTTTAATATAAATCCATCTAGTAGTTGTTGCGACCACCATTATTATCTGTCCCAAATTCCATGACAAATAATCAAAACAAATAATTAGTTACTAAAATACAAAAATATCAACCATTACAGTGGCGCTAAATGCAAAGTCAGGGGATCATCAAAGACAGTAGGCTTTATCCTCTGGGAAACACAAATCTCTGTCATGTCAGTCCATCCAGGACCTAACCTAATGCCATTAGCGTGAGGGTTTTTGTCAAGGGTTGTGGGCTGAATTGGTTTAAAGCTTTAGTTGCTGATCTCCACTTTAATAAAAACACTAAACTTACTGGCTTCATGATCATCAGCAAAGAAAAAATGCCCAATGAAACATAAGTTGTATGTATTTGTGTGTCCTGCCAGACTTAAGTTGGGTCACCGACAAAGTCCTTCGGCCCTCGTCTGGCCTCTCTGTGGCTACAGGTGCTTCACATTATGGCTCGTAAAACTCAGCAAGAGGGAAAAATTATTGCCACAATTTGTTAAAGAGGAAGGGGGAGGCATGGGGTTCGAGGGGGTACTGGAGTGGTGCTGTATATGGATACAGTATTGACATACGTGACTGTGTTGTGTCTGCTGAACGCTTCAGCATTCCAGCCCTGTGCCAGGAAAGGCCATATTGTTTTTGAATTGAACTCAAGTGTCATTTTCTGAGGAATGATTTAGTGGTGTGTGTGTGTGTGTGTGTGTGTGTGTGTGTGTGTGTGTGTGTGTGTCACACGCCAGCTGGCACACTCCTCGGCCGACGGTGTGTATGCCATATGTACTGGGAGGAAGGTTACAGGGTCACAGGGCCACGGGGTCGCTGGGAGTGCACTGTGGAGAGAGGAAACAGGCCTAATCTCAGAAAGGCTGGCAGCTTCCTGTTCTGAGTGGAGGGTACACAGAGGACACTGTCTTAGCTCTGGATACCCTGCTAGTGAATTTACTATGTAATTCAATCAGGATTAGACCACTCACTCACGCCCTCTAATAATAGTGAGAGGGAGGAGGCCAGACTGAGCTTTAAATCAGTATCTCCTCAACCTGATTTTACTTTCAGACATGGGTCTTTTTTTGGCCTCGCATGCGTTGTTCTTCTGATGTAGTTTCTGTAAGCATAATTGGGATGAAATTAACTTTTTCATTACCACTCTTATGAAGGTTTTACTGTGTAAAAAATGCACCCAAGCAATATGGTGTGTAACATAGTGTTACAACTATGTTCAAATTGTTAAAAAAAAAATAAAGCTTACATATACATTTTTACTTTGTTACTTTTTCCAGGAAAGAAGGGTAGCAGACTGAAAAGAAATAAAAAAAAACAACAACTATGCAGTTTGAATTTACCCATCCCAGTTGTGTTTCTTTGGAAGACACTGCTCTACTAGAGTTTACAGTAAACTAGGTCCTCTTGTGGTGAGCACAGCTCAGAAAATACTTCCAGGAATAGAAAGTGAAAAAAAGCAAACTGAAATTACCTGCTTATCACTCTGATCAGCCTGAGCTCCCCCAAAATACTTTTAAAAAGAGGAATAAACAATAGATATGTATGGTGTTTATGTCAACCCTAACCCTTTTTACACGTATTACTGTAATATGTATGTATTCTCTAATTTCTTTATTATTTATTTATTCTAATACATATAATCTAAAACTAAGGAGCCTCATACCTATATTTCCACTATCACCAATATCACCAATACTTATTACGTATTGATTAATTTTTATAACCTACACAATGCTGTCTTCCAGAAGTGTGGAGAATGGAAACAAATATTAAAAAAAACCCCGGTACATGTTAGGTATGAAATATGGGAAAACTATATTCCTCACCCTCATGTGTATTATGTAAGTTACACAAAAATAGACTAATCTTATCTTGTTAACCGCATGACACAGTCATCTGACGAGGGCTTTGGTCAATTCTTTTATAGCTCTTTCGTAGACTAATAGCTAATGCCAACAGTATCTATTATATCATGTTTTAGAAATGGCAGCTGAGTAAAAATAGGCAACAAACTGTATTTTTATATCATTGTTAATTGTTGGTTCTGTGTGCAAATTATATTAATTCATATTATTTTGTTTACTCAGTTAAGCTCAGCACAGCAACTGAATGTGTGAGACACTGTCATGGCTTATTCCAAATTGTTTACAAGCTAATCTAGTTAACTCAGTATCCCATAAATAAATGTAACACAAAGTTTATTGCTCACTAATTAGTCAACATTACTTACTGTAAGTTTTTTCATAAGCAAGCAATTATGAGTGACACACATCTGATGTAACCCTTGTAGTAAGCAGATGATTCAGAAAGAAAAAAAGAATTGTCTTTAAACAGGCCAATAACATAATAACAACAACAATCATTTGATTTGTGTATGCATATGTGTGTGTTCATTTTGCATGTGTTGGAGGATATGCAAGATATGAACTTCATTTCAAGGCTAAGGGGTCAGGGTCGGGGCAGAGGTCAGGGTCAGAGGTGGAGTCCGGGGAGATAGCTTTTTGATCTGCATCCGGATGTGGAGAGAGAGACTCTGCCGTTCTAACTAAAGTGGGAGGAGTCAACAACAACTAATGTCCAGACTGGACAGACCAGACTGTCGCAGTCACTGGAGGGACAGTTAGTAGCTGAATGTAATGCTCAGGCCAGAATGTATGTTTAAATCACAGCCTGGAGGTATGAAGGGGTTGAGTCCTTTGGTCGCCCTCTAGGTTAAAACCAGTGTTGGATAATGGTTGGGGTGCATGTGAGAATTTAGGTGAGGTCTAGACAAGATGAGATGGGCTGCAGCAGTTTGGATGAGCCCCAAGTGTCAAAGAGCAACCCCCTCTCCAGACTAAACATTCATATGAGACAGTTCTGTAAAACCCTGGATTATGTTCAGCTATGACATTTTTAAATATGCAATGCCAGTGCTTTTTCATCATTTTTTTAAAACTGCATGCGTGATAACTGCAGTACGGTTTGGCAATTAACAACTACTGGGTTAAAGCTTCTTTAAGACCCATTTTTATGTCATTATAGCCCCTTTCAAATTATTTCGATGGTACACGTTAAGTTTTTGTTGAAAGAAAAATCCGAAAATCCCGGGTAAATTGGTGCAGTATATGATTTGCTTTAAGTCTATTCATTTCAGGAGTTTAAACATTACTAACGTAGGAGCAGGGAACCCAGCGGCTCACAACCTGAACTGATGCCAACTGAATCACAGTGGCTCCGACCAGGACTTTGACTTTGGAGATAAAGACACAGCGGGTTCTAGCAGGGACAGAAGAGGCATAAAACGGAGACAGGAGCTAGTTTATACCAAGTTAATGTGTAAGTAACTATTAACGTTATGCATCTTATTCATATTATTTAGTCTGGTAGTACTTGTTTGTGTGTGTCGAGACTTGTGTGATGTTATACTGTGTTGAAATAAATGTTCAGTCTCCTTGTTGGTTGTTCTGACACATTCAACAACCTAATTACTGCTTTTTCCATTTTCACAAGGCGGCTGTTGAAATATATTTAAACGTATACATAAACATGCGATAACTAGTTGATTATTGGTTTTATCTAACAACTACTAGTCAACTAGAAAAATCTGTAGTGGCGGGCAACCCTACAAATTAGATTATAGGCCATATGAATGCTCTTCCTAGTTCATGCACTAACATTTACTCAAGTACAATTCAAGAGCAGTTTTTGGGTGCTTGAACTTGAGTATTTCCAATCCAACCCCCCAAAGAAGGACTTTTATTTGTAACATTATACTATATTGACATTGCTTCTTTTACTTTACATTAACAAGTGTCCTGAGATAACTTCTGTTATGAATTGGCGCTATTCAAATACACTTGAATTGAAATTAAGTTGAATTGAATTATAAACTGCAAGTGATTAATTGATTAACAGAGAATAACTAAAAGAAATGTTTAATAAATCAATCAGTGAAAATTTTTCCCCTACGTGATATACTTAAGCCACCTTTAGTGAAAAGGGGTAGTGGTATCTGGAAAAGTATCGAGTTGTGGTGATGATTTTGGCCGAAAACCAAACCGAATTTTGGTTTATGGTATTTCCCATCTATAGTGGCAGCATCCTGTGAGACTGTGGGTTTCACTTGTAGGTTTTACTTCAGCTTTAAGTTGATTTTTGTTGAACTTTCCCAAGGTTTGTTTACGTTACTAGTTGCATTGTAATGATGATAATAATTGCACCTATTCTGCACAGACTCCAGCCCTCATAATAAGACAGAATAAGTGTGGACCATAATGGACAATAAAATACAATAAAAAAGATTAAAGAGGTATAACAAGTGTTTGATAAACGCTATACTAAAAAATAGATCAAATAGAAAAAACAAATACAACCAATAAGAAGGATAAAAAAATATTAATAAGAAAAAAGTAACTAATAAAATACATTAACAAAACTTTTTTTTTTTACAAGGAAATACAATAAAATATGTGAATAAAAGAAAATAAATCATATATAGGAACCATTTTTAGTTAAAAGCCAGGCTGAAGGTATTTATGTTTACAGACAGGGCTGCAAAACTAGTATAATCTATTGACTCAAATCCCTGAAATATTGAGGTTTTGCTATTGGTTGACAAAATCTCTCTCATCTTACATTATCTCATCATACCACCCAACCCACTGATCGCATCGACTCAGTGGGCACATTTGTTATCAGTGAGGAAGCAGTTCAGAGCGTGTCACAGCTGATCTGCTGCACCTCTGTCATACCTCTATCAGCATGGCTATGTCATGTGATTAGTGGTATCTTTTCTGGCTGACTGTATTAACCGTTTATCAGATCACATAGTCATAACCTTATGACAATCATTTTTCCTGTCACCATCAAATTCATATGTGGTTTGCATTTATCTGCAGTTAATCACCCAGCTGCAACGAAAATAAAGTGGCAGTTTCCAGGAGCTTTCTTAGCTGATTTGCTACTCAGAATTTCAGTTACAGTGCCAAATGATATCATTCAGCACTGAAGTGTGTTATTACTGACCCATGTTTTACAAAAGCCACTCTTGCTTTTAAGCAGTGTCTGCAAGAAGCAGTAAGTGTCTGCGTTTCCTCCAAACTCACCACTAAAAACAGATCCAAGCTCTGAGGCAAACCGGCAGTCCGATTTTGGAGAAATCTGCTTTTTCGGTGCCGTGCTTGTACCTAGTGCATGGTAGAGAAGTCCTAATGTCTAATAACACATCCTTACTTGTCTTTTTATTGGCCTGTACAGCTGGTTTTGAGCTTGAGTGGTATAACGTACAGTTCTCTGCAGATGATTACTGGGCCTACATAAAAGCTTGTTGAACGAGGAAATGGGTACCAAATTACCATTATGTGATCTGGGTGGATTACCGTAGCCCTCTGTTCATATAAAACAGAACTAATCTAACATGAGAGCCTAACAGTCATTGTTTGGGTTCACCTCCATGTCTGACTAAATCAAGCACTCAACACTGACAGAATGGCTCAGCCCCAAGCACAGAAAAAACAAATCATAGCATGAAAAAGCCCAGAGGCAAACAACTGGGGGAAAAATTATCTCTTTACAAATGAGTAACAAGTTTCACAGACTGGTGGGTGTACGAGTGCTGTCACTTACAGTGATAGAAGTTGCAGCGCACCAGAGCAGGGTAGCACTTTGGGTCATGTAATTATAGCATTACCACGTAATGAGAGTAATTTGTACTAATCACAGAGGCCGTGCTGACTCTGAGAAGAACCTCTGTAACAGCAGGAAGTCCAAGTGGGAAAAGGTGGAGAATAGAGACCTGCAGGTGCACCAGTAGAAAACCTGTTTACTTGCAGCACCGCTATGACAAAATCTCTAAAAAAAAAAAACTTACCTGGCCTACTGAATATCTCAGAATCCACACTAATTACTATGATGATGATGAGCACAAGAGAAACTGCCTGCTATTAGGTCTGGGTCTCCATTCTGTTCCCTTATGCTCTCAGTGATTACTTTAACTGTTTTTAGCCATGCTAACAGCATGGCTCTATGGATAACAAAGACTTGGATGGTAATATCTTAACAACTGTTTGATGGATTGTCATAAAATATGGTAAAGAAAATAATTAGCTTTGTGATCAAATATCAGACAAACTAATGACATTCCCATCAACCCCAACTGCACATTTAGTGCTAATTTGTGCTAATTAGCTAATGTTAGTACACTAAAATGCTGATATTAAACTGAAGATGCTGAACATTGAAACATCATACTTGCTAAACATCAGTATACAGTGTGGTTGTTGACTGATACACACTTTATGGTAACACCTATACCACTGGCTATATTGACATTTAAAATGAGGGATCACATATGTTAGAGGGGGCAGAAAGATGTGATTTGTGATCATTATTTTCCAAAATCCACACTAAAATGTATGGTTGGTCATTTCCATTTCAATTCTGGAGAACTTTCTTCCTTATTGGGTATGAAAAACTCTTGCCAAAACAAAGAGAAAAATATGTTTTTTTAGATTTAGCTGGCTTCGACTATGCATATTGTCATTCTGCAGCCTCACGCTCTGCACTGTTATGCACTTTTCTTATCCCTTTCTCATGCATTTATCCCATTTCTTCCCTCCTTCTACCCAAGGCCTGAGCCAGAAGAGTAGTTTGGAGCTGGTGGGCAGCAGCAGGGCTTAAGTGTTTCCTGTAGGGCCTGTTGGACAGGAGGAACCGCCGCTGGCCCTCAGCCTTCAGGGGTGGAAAGTATGTGTCGTAGGCTGCGCTCCCACCTCCCACCTCCCAGCCTGGGAACGGAAGCTGGGAGCCGCCAGGGAAAACAAGCAGACAATCAGGTAGGGCCTGAGCCGGGAGAGAGAAAGAGAGGATAGAAGGGGAGGCGGAGCTGCTAGATACGTCAGGTCCTGAAAGACTCAACTGAAGCTCTAGGAAAAGCATACAGATGTAATGGGGTTTGGGATGGAGGATTTGTTTATGTGTTTGTGTGAGCATTTCCTCATCCATCAAAGAAAGTGAAAGGATGTGTGTGTTTTCAGAAGGACCGGCGCACAGAGCGTGTGTGTGTATGTCGCGCAAGCATGTGCATTACTGAAACATAATCCGATATTAAAGTTTAGAGAGTGTTTGTACAGTGTGTGTTGGTTAGTCTGTGTGTGAGAAAGTCGGGTACTGTGTGTGTGTGTGTGTGTGTGTGTGTGTGTGTGCGCCCACACATGCGTTTGTGTGCTGTGTGTTTGGTTAAGGACAGTGGCCAGCAGGGGACAGGGTGGGTTAAGGTCAGGGGAGAGGGGATGCCTAAAGGGAGGAAGACTGTGGTGTTCAGTTTCCACAAGGGGGGTCCTGTCGGCCTGCACGTAACACAGTGTGTGTGTGTGTGTGTGTCTGTGTGTGGGTGGGTGGGTGGGGGGCATGGACCTCTCTCTCGCTCTCTCTCTCTTGCTTGCTCTCTCTCTCTTGCTCTCTCACTCTCTCTCACTCTCTAAAACAGAGCTTTAAATGAGCAGGGGAATGAATGAGGGAAATTTCCCTCTAATGGTATTTTTGAATGGCTTTTGAAAGGAATGAGAGGCAGGAATGGACAAGGCTGAAACATTTCTATTGGCTTGTTCCTGTACACATTAAAGTTCTAATAATAAAAGTCCTGGTCAATCATTTATAGCTTATTACATAAAAATGCCAAAAGAAATGGTTCAGCCAACAATATCAACCACGTGTCTGACCTACATTTACTTTGTTTTTACATCATGCAGGAACTTTTTTGAATAAGCATCCATCATTTTGTCTCATACCGAAGTTTGAAATCTAATTTTATCTGCGGTCAAAAGACCTAACTCACTATCTACCCATATTAAACTGATCAAGACTGTTTATGAATAAATGACATTGTCCGCATACCAGTGGAATGATAGTGATCTGCTTTTATTCAAATAATAATAATAATAATAATAATTTTATGATGTGATTGGTTTTGCTTGTGGAAGTGTTCCACACTTCACTTAGAGTGAAGAGTAGTTTCTATATCAAAGTTGTAGAGTAGATTTTCAAAACAATCTCATCACAAGGTTCATTTAGTAGTGCTTCTGGAGCTTTCGATCATATCACATCAGCCAGAATTTCTAATGATTTAAGTCTGAACTTTAAAATATGTGATGTATGTCATCTTTGAAATTAGTTTATTATCAAGGAAATCATGCATAGACCTTGCCGTGATCCTAACAGAAAAAGGAGGAATAGAATATTTTTTTTATTTAATATTTTTACAGTGGAAGAACTGGGGTTGGCCGTTTTGATTGATTGTAAATTATTGATTGACTATAAAGACCTTTTTTTTTTTCCACAATATTTTTATTTTATTTTCAGATTTTAACAGCTTGACATACAGCCTTTACATTCGTATATCTTCATTCAACTTCCATACTGTAAGATCGCTGCATTTACTTGGAGACAGAAGTAAAAACAAAACAAAACACTCAGAACAAGAATGCTCCTCCTGTTAAAATGGTAATCTATATAAAATCAACTATTATTTAGTGCAAATTAAAACACATATATAGAAAAACAATATAAAACTTACAAGATCGGAATCTACATTGTCCACAAAGACTAGTCATCCACTTCTTCGTCTGTTAAATCCAAGTCCTTGGTTGATGAAAGGGCTCCATATGTCCTCGAATACATGCTGTTTAGCCTTTAATATGTAAGTCATTCTCTCTAATGGAAGGCTTGCTAACATCTGTCTTATCCATTGAGTAGTACTTGGTCTATGAATCTTTTTCCACAATAATGCAACACATTTCTTAGCATAAAGCAAGCTGAGGTCTATAAATGTCTGCTCATTCCTACTATAGTTATGTTTCTCTGGGTATAAGCCCAACAGAAAAAGTTTAGGGTTCTATTTGTTTTGAAATAATCTTCTCAACTATAGCTCTTACCTCTTCCCAGAATATTTTAATCTTTCCGCATTGCCAAATGCAGTGAAACAAACTTCCTCTGGATTCCATACATTTTGTGCATACATCTGGTAAATGTTTATTATATCTATTTAAATCTATCTGTGTCACATATGTCCGCATTGACCATTTGTACTTTCCAGTCCCCATCCGAAACTTCTAATTGCAAGTCTTCCTTCCATGTATTCAACTTATACTGTGAATTTTCTGATGAATAAGATGCCAGCAACCTGTAAACTTCTGATATGATACCCGTTCTTAAACTGTCCTTTATCATAATTTTCTCCAAGGATGAATGTGGGGGTCTAGTAAGTCAAGTATTTTGATTTGCTTTAACAAAGCTTCTAAGCTGGAGGTACTTGAAAAAATGTTTCCTGTTGAGGCCAAACTTAAAGCTCAACTCCTCAAAAGACATCATAATACCTGAGTCTGTCAAGTAAAGGTCTTGGACCATTTTAAGTCCCTTAGAGTGCCACAATTTAAACACCGCATCCCCTCTCCCTGGTGCAAAAAAACAATTACCCCATACTGGACTATATTGAGATAATGTATGCTGTTCCTTTTTTGAACATCATACCATATTTTTAACATGTGCTTTACTATTGGGTTTTAAGTTTGTTTCTTTAGTCTTTTTACTGTGTCTGAGTACATGTATGAGGGAAGAGGCAACGCCAGACCGTGAGACTCCATTTCAGTCCAATGTAGTGGCTCATTTGTTGAAAAGTAGAACATAACAGACCTCAGCTGCGCAGCCCAGTAATACCACATTAAGTTTGGACACCTTAAGCCCCCTCTGTCATATGGCAGATACAACAAAGATAAACAAAGTATTGCCCTCCTATTCTTCCATATAAATCTCACAAACATATTTTTAGTTTTTGAGAAAAAATCTGGAGGATGTGGCAGAGGAACATTTATTTTTTGATCTTCAAATCTAAAATTTAAAAAACAGATTCCTTAAGGCAAAATTGAGGGTCTGGAGTTAAATGTGCTTCTGTTGTGGGGGTCCTTGACATTACAAGGTTTGGAAACCCCTGGTACAGAATATAGTAAATGCTGTCCTCTCTTTTTCTCTGTAACAGGAACTCGCTGCTATTTCATTAGTTTGAGGTGGCCCAAAAAGGGTTGAACATGCTTGAGGGCTCTTTATGGTCGCATTTGACCATAAATGTGTCACTTACTTCCTCCCAGTAGTGATGCCGCTTTTAAGACAGTATTGAATGCCATTCATAATCCTGCTCTTGTTATCTGGCCGGAAATCTGAGTTTTTACCAAAAAGGCTTGTAAGCGAATCAGTGGTTTAGACCACAGCTTCGCTTTCCCACCTTGGTTCACTTGCTCTACACCTGTTATTGTGAGCGATCATAATCAAATCAGAAAGTCATGACTGGTTTAGATCATTTGTTCGCTCTGAGGTGTTTTCAGAGCAAAGGTTGGTGAGGTCACTGGATCCGGTGCAATGCCTCGAATCATGTTACAGTGTTTGCTATCTGCTCTCCTCGGGTTATTTCCTTTTTGTCTTTCATATAAACTGTGTGGAAACAAGTGAATTACATAAAACAATAAACCAATTATACTATTACGGGATCGCACATGTTGTTGTATTTATTAGTATTGCATGATTTCAATGATTTAGGTTTGCGGCATAATAGACTTGCATGGTTGCCTTTCCGTCTGTGTTTGGTACGTGCTCCATTGACTGTCCTGGGTCACAGTGGGACGCCAGTGATTGAAGCTGAGTTGAGAGAGGGGAGAGAGGGGACAGACAGGGGAGGGGGGGTGGACGTGACATCCCCAGCTGGCCTGTGACATCACTCCAGCGAGGACAGGAAGTAGGGGAGTTGAGAAGCTAGGGTACAGTAGGTGACATCAGGGCTCTGTCTGGGTCTCTTGGTCCTCCAGCTGGGTAAACTAGACAGAGACCCCCGCAATCAAACCCACCCATCCGCCAACCCCTCCATCTTCAGCCTTTGTCTCCAGCTTTTGTCGACCGCCTTTCTTCGACCCTCTACATTTATGTTCACAGACACTACCTACCCTCTCTGACTCACACACATATAATGCCATGTGTTTCCTCATACAGTCTCCCCTTTATCTAACACTCTCTTTAATGTGTGTGTATGTGTATATTTATGTTTTTGAACGTGTCTGCTTCTCATCCGTTCACTCTGACCTCGCATCTCCGCTGAATGTGATCAAACAGAATCCCCGCTGGCTTACACATAGACACATACAGTACATGTACATATATACATGAGGAGTTTGCAATTTTCTTTCGAGGGACAGAGCCGACTGCCCAAGTGAACTAAGCACCTGGTTAGGGCCCTTTAGCCACCAGGAGGAGCCCCCAAAGCCCCCAGGGTCACTCATAAAATATTTTAGGGAAACTATTACAAACTTCAAAATTGTAACAAAACACATTTTCAGGTTGCTTTAACAAATTTGTTTTTGATGATTTGAGAGTCACAAACAGCACATATTGGCACCACTATACCAAATTTGCAGCCTTGTACAAGTGGATATAATACAGGAATTTGATAACAGCCTAATTATAGTTTCAAAGTAATGAGAAATTATGCAAAAAAATAAAAGCTACCTAATAGACCGTGAAAGCCAAAATGGTAAATGGACTGTACTTATATATCTCTCTAGTCTTCTCACGCTGTACAGTACATGCCACATTAACCCATTCATGACAAAGGCCATCACAAACAGAAACTAACCCATTCACGCACCAATGCACAGCATCAGGAGTAATGTGCGTTTCAGTATCTTGCTCAAGGACACGTCAACGTGCAACGGAAGAAGCCGGGGATCGAACCACCAACCTTGCAATTAATGGACTACCCCCTCTGCCTCCTGAGCACCAGCTGCAATCAAGATGCAATAACTGGTTGCTATTTATAAACAGTTTTGCACTGAAGCGAAGGAAACCATTCAAATATTCTACAGACTGAACTAAGGTGAACACTGCTTTGTTACAGTGTTATGAACAATGGTGTGATGGCTTAATAATGGTTATACTGATGTGTTTGTTTGAATGGCGATCAGTTACCTTTATGGTAAAAAACCCCTTCACAGTCAGTGTATATGAATCTTTGAACTGAACTGAACAAAACAACATAAATGCATTTTTTTCTCATTTTGGAACAAAAGAATGCAGAAGTATGAACTCATAAAGCTCAAGAAGCACACACACACACACCCACACACACACACACACCCACACACACACACACACACACACACACACACACACACACACACACACACACACACACAATACTGTTCTGTAAGTTCATTTCAATGACTACACAGAGAGAGAGAGTGTGAGTGAATGGGCTGCCAGTCACACTGAGTGGGTTGGCCGTTGGTTTGCACATCTCCGCTTTGAATGTGAAACACATGTTAATGTGTGGGTGGGAGTCAAGAGAATAGAGGAGAGGGTATCCATGTCTCAATATGAAAACGCCCTGTCTGTCCATCTGCAAGAACATTTAATAAGACTTGCACACCAGCAGACCTTTTTTCCATCCTCTCTCCTCTCTCAATCTCTCCAGTCTCATGCTCTTGTTATCTTTGATCTCCAGGCTCAGATTCTTTTCTATGCAAATTAAGTTTGCTGAAAACTGAGGGTGAAAAGTGTGTTTCACTGCAGTTGTGAATGTTTGTGCCTGTGTAATGTTTCGCTTTTCACCGTACTTTCTGTGTTTGTTTAGGTGTGTAAATGTTTGCACAATGAACTCTACTATCTGTCATATGGTGTAAGATCTCTCCAGTGTGCGTACTACGTATGTTCCACCACATGTGTTTGTTTGAAGGACGTGTTATTGTGGGGCTGAATGTGCAAGAGCGGGCTGAGTGCGTGGCAGCCCCTGGCCTGCCCCCCCTCAGTGCTCTGGTGTGTGTCACAGGGCTCTGCCGTGGGTTTATGATGTCTGGCAGAGAGTGTAGAGAGTGCAGATGGCAGGAGCAAGAGAGAAAAGGAGGGAGGGAGGGAGAGAGAGGTGTGTGGTTGCATTAATATGGTCTGCAATTCTCGTTAGCACTAATCAGGGGCTTCCTGTACCGGGAGGAGCATGAGTTCACCTTCCCAAGCACCCCACACACATATACACACAGAGATACATGCATGCACACTTGTACAGAAAACATAATAGATACCATTATGGTGCTCACATACACAAACACCTGCACACTCCCCTTCAATCCTACTGGCTCCCTCCCATCCCTCTCTTCCTACATACTGAATACTGAAGGTCCATCTCTGTGTCTCGGTTTCTGCCCCCACACTCATGTATGACCATGTATCCCTCTCTGTTTGTTTGGCTCCTCATGCTCTGAAACTGGCCATAAAATAAGTTGGAAGGAACTGCAAGCAACTGAAAGTAGAGCTTTTTCCACTCTCGGGGTGACTTACCATATGCTCAGAATCACGTGAGACCACAGCGGAGAGTTCACTCTCCCTCAGAAATGCCCTCGTCCCAACGTGAACTCTGAGGGGTCATGAACTTCAGCTTGAGTGTAGAGGAACTGGCACTCAGGGTGGAGATCGACAAAGACGGGCTAGTTGGCATAAAGGTAGCGCAGATCACATCCTGGAATGTGGAACACAATGACGCACTTGTGAGCAGTAATTCATTTGCTGACATTGGCATACTGCAGAAAAAAAGCACCTAAGCCTGACAGGAATCAAGTTATCTGCATGTGCGCAAAGTGTGTAATACCATCTGCAACCGTTTAGCTGCAGCTCGGAGCCTGTGTGGCCATGATGGCATGTGGAATCTTTGGGCAATATGTTGACCACAGAAACAATAGAAACGAGATTCCACAATGAAAATGTCATAAGTACCCTCGCCCCTTTTCCTCTCCCTCCTCCCATCCCTTCCTCTCCTTTCTCCCGAGTTTAAAAGAGCCCCAGGGTAAGATAAATTAATGTATTTAAGATGTGGAAATCAGATATTGAAATCTTTGCCCTCACCATCCTCCCCCTTTCTTCCCCTGCTTCTCCCTAAACCCCCAGCCTCCCTTACCCCCCTTCTCCCTGCACTGCTGCTCTCTTTAATGGAGTTTAATAGTGTACAGGGAGACAGTGTGATAGATAGACTGAGAGAAACTGAGGAGATTTGGTTCAAACTTTTTTTTTCACAGTGCAAGTTTTGTGTCAAATCTTTTTTTTTCTTTTACTGTGCCCTGGGCTTTGCAATTGATAGCCTCCTCAAAACTCAACCACCAACACCACCCTCCTCCTCTTTCTCCTCTTCTTCCCTGCACACCTTCCCACCCCACTGAACCCTGGCCAGCCACAGCTGCCTGACCAGATGTGAAAGAGAAAGAAAGGGAGGAGAAGGAGAGATGGAGGACAGGGAGAGGCCACCTCCTGCGGGGAATGAGGAGTGAAACAGAGAGAGTGGAGAATGAGGGGATGGAGAAAAGGAGGGAGAGGGAAAGTTGCAGAGAGGAGATAGAGAGAATTGGAAAGATGGAATAACATAGCTCGTAATCAAATGTGAGAGAGCAAGCATTTAGCGTAAATTATTCCTCTTTAGACAGTACCTGGCCTTGTCATTAAAGACCACCTACCCAGACCACACCAGACCTCAGTGTGGTCAGTCATCAAACATGGCAGAAATCTTTATTGCTGCAGCTTCACACCTCTTTTCACACCTTTAATCATTAATTAAGACCAAAATAAGAACAAAAACCTTTAAAAAGTGACCAAAAGCAAAGTCTACAACATTTCGTAGCTCAGTCGGCAGGTTAGTGGAGTCCGTATGTATCCAGGCTTCTCCATGGGCACAGCTGATTTATGTAGCAGCTCAGCACTCTAAGCCCCGAGTCCACGCTCACACCGTACTCCTGGGGGCTGTCTGATTAGAGATGGGGGAGAGAAACCATGCACTCACACACCCCACCATTTGGTTCTCATTACACACATGTACATGCACACACCCAGAACACACTCACACCCTCACACATGCACACTTGAGCACACATACAAAGATGCAGATACGGACTTGTGCAACGTCAAACATGTAGTGCCATTCCTAATTTACCTGTGTATTGCGAAATCTGGCATTGGCAGTTGTAGCGCTGGATAAATGGAGCAACATTAAAATGAAGAAGTGGAAAGGCAAAGAAGTAGAGCTGCACTATTAAGAAAGAATGCAACACACATCTGAAACAGTATTTATGACGCATATTTGACTAGTTTCCAGATATAAAAGCATAAACAGTGTTCTCGTTCTCCTCTAAAGTTCCCCTAAAGTCTAATGTTCAAATCCACTTGTCACACTTTCTTTCCTTTTTTACAGCACTGTGTTCCATCCAAAGCAATAAAATAATGTAGGCTGAAATGGCCTCTCTCCTACATTTATTTTCTACACGCAGATAGTTTGGAAGGTGCCATCAGGCTGGTGGTGTCAACCTGAAACCCGATTTTGTGCATTCTCAAAAAAAAAACTTCTACAGGACTGTACCCCATGCTGTTTAACACAAGTGTTAATATGAGAGGACTGTAAACACTCGGCTGTAATCACAGACCGCAGCATGTGGTCGCTTTGACTGCAATGAGATGAGGAGATGCATGTGTTATAGGTAGGAATGAGAGAGCCTGGGGGGCGTGAAGGCTAATTTACAACACAGAATGTTGATTTTAACAGCTGACCAATGAATGACAACCCACGTAGGGTGTGTGTGTGATCTACTAAAGTCACTGTTGTGTTCTGGTTTGTGCATCATTTGCAGCACAGTCATTAAAACCTTATTAAAAATCTGTTTGCCGAGCACCCCATACCGTTATACATACACTGTCTCACTCCAGGATGGCCTATAGATCCACCCACAGTACTGACTCATGTTGTGTTGTCTCCTTGTCAGAACTTTCACCTTGCTGCCAGAGTCTCAGACAGTCCCCCGGCCCCTAGACTCTTCCGGTTTCTCTCCCACCCCGACACCTCACCCGGAGTGACATCAGTCTCCAGCAATGGACGGAAACACATCACACACGTAGCTTCGGTGATGTGCCCCTCACTGGGTCAGGGACATGACGCTGGAGCTCTGATGGGTAAACCAGATGCACACATAGACAAACACACCCATACATACCCGAGACACATTATGCACATACAATAAAGACAATGCATAACAGCTACAGTCCTGCTGGACGTGGAGGAAGAAGAAGGAGGATACAGTTTGATTTAAACAATATAATCAAATAAAGAAAATGTAGCAGAATAAACTTGTTGCAGATGCATTTTTCTTCATATAATGTGTATGTCATGTATGTAATAATATATTAAAGTTTTTAGGAAATTTCTCCCTTTTTCAGCAGACAACTCGAAAAAGTATATATGCTTTAATTTATTGTATCTTTGATCATACCTTGTTTGATGTTTTTATGTGTATTTATGTAAATCATAATCTTTAATATTTAATTATTTTAGTTTTTTGTAATTGTCAGATAGCTGATAGCCTAAAACACACAGCCTCAACGCTGCTACACGCTATACAAGATCACCTAGGTCTGTTACTGTTGCTTGTGTCTCTGTGACAAAGAATGTGTGTCGTTTATCTAACAAAGCACCTGTTGAGGAGGCTGCCGTCCGTTCAGCCGTGGTCCCTAGTGATCATGCTCAAGTGTGAAAAGAACAATGAGGTGGACAGACATGGATGAGAGGATTCTGCGGGGGACGTAGTGGAGACAGATCACGCTCTCTCTCCAAGGGGGTGTCGCTGTCTGACAGGAAGTGTAGGTCAGCACTGGACGTGTGTTTGCGTGTGTGTGCTTGTCTGTCTGTGTGGCCAGGTCCGCACCATCAGGTCAAGGCTGTACAGCCAGCAGGAAATGACCCAAAACATGCACATGAAGATTTAACCCCATGTGTACCGTGTCATCTTCTCATCTGAGGTTCTTATCTGGATGATAACTCTCATCCCTTCTTTTGTTAGCAGAGATTTAAATTTAGTGGTAAACAAGTCTGTTTGTGTCTATAAAATCATAAAAAGTAAGAAGTGAAGTACCTTTTTGTGATGTAAAAAGTACAGTGGCTGTGTTAGTCTGACTATAAAGTATGAATTTATCCCAAGAAAATGATTTAAATCAATAATGATTTATTCATAGCTGCATAATGACATAATTCTTGGAAATGGATGAAGTAACAGACTGTATACGTGAGCATCCAAATACACATAAGAATATTTGGAATACTTGAGCAGAGGTGCTCTAAATTTAGCTTCCCCTTGACTTTCCCTCACCCCCTCCCAACACTTCTGCCTTCCAGCCTGAAACAATGGACCCCCTAAGTCCCTCCCCCGTCCTCCCCCCACCCAACACACACACACACGCCCTGTGCCATTATTGGATGTGCTACCTCTCCCTATTTAGGTGTGTGTATGTGAGTCCATCTGGCCTCTGGAGTCCCATAAGGAAGAGCAAAATGTTTAGCGGCTCCTGTACTCACTTTGCAATGTCGTTTCCGTGGCGATAGGGACACTGCCTCTGTGGAAAGGAAGTGACTCTTTGGGGGACGAGGGAATTCTCAGACGGCGAGCCCTGACTGACGTTACAGGGGCAAAAATATGCCATTAGAACCAAGCATGCAACATTTTTGGACAGGATATCTCTGCCTGTCAGCAGACACGTTTACATCAGTCTTGTCCAACTCTGATTGACCTATTAACTCATCAGGTTATGTAAGCAGCACTCTGACTATCCAAAGGCACAATGCGTCAGCTTCGTGTGCCTATCTGTGTGTCATCATCCTGCTGCCACTCTATAAGGGCACACTTGTCTACAGTAGCACACAAACAGGAGTTGATGGGGTGATCTAAGGTTCATCCTGTTTTGGTGTGCTGCTGCAACCTTGAAACATGTCATTTTCCTGGAGTGTCTTGGTAAAAACAGATGGTTGTTATCATCAGGGTTTGTGAGGAAGCCTTTTTGGCAGCTCATTAGTTCATCCTCACTTTCCTGCTTTTATCCTCTTCTCTCTCCTCTGTTCTCCTCATCTCTCAGCCGGTATTAAAATTAACAGTTTTCCCCTTTTGTTTCCCTACGAAAAGAATAGTTTGACATTGTGTTAATTTGCTATCTTAGATACCACTCTCTTTGATGAATATACAGCCAGCAACTTGTTAGCTTAGTAAACAAGGGCAACAGCCAGCTGGGCCTACCCAAACGTAACAAAAATTACTTACCAGCAGTTCTCAAGCATAGTAGTGTAAGCAAGTATAAAAATGACACTTCGTTGTTTTACAGGCGGTTACTCTGTCTTGATCTCTTGGCCGGGACCAGCACTTCCCGGAGTAACCGCTGTTTGCCTGGCAACTGCCCCTGGCCAAGAAATACTTACATTATACTACAGAGCATCATGACTGTTTTACACTTAAGTTTTTGTACAGATCAAACTAAAAAGATACAATGTGTTAATTAGCGAGTTTACAGGTGTTGGTAGATGGATTTTGTTCTCTTTGGACAGAGCTAGGCTAGCTTCTTCCCCCTGTTTCCAATCATTATGCTAAGCTAAGCTAACCAGGGCCTGCTCCAACTTCATGTTTATCATTGTATCAATCCTCTCATCCATCTCTCAGCAAGACAGCATTTTTTCCAAAATGTTGAACTTTTGCTTATTCTGCAGTGTCAGACAGTATCACACGTGTATTCTATATTGGCCTCTTCCAGCTCTTTGATAATTCATTATGGCTCCACCATCCCATCAAATGTAAGTATTTTTAGATTGCATCATCTTATAGTCATATATATTTGGTGGCTTTGGAAACTCTGGTATCCCCCCTTGAATTTAAAACAACGTCCTGTATGTTTGCACAGCATGGGTTTGTAATAACTTGGCAGTGAGATGTGTCCTTTTTTTTAAAAAGGATGCCCGCCTCTGTAACCATCCTCTTCTGTTTCTCATTCCCTCTCCTCTTCAGTCACGTCCTCTTTCTCCATGTTCTGCACTCGCTGTACAAATGTGTGTGTGTGTGTCTAAACCATGTCTGTCAGTGTCCATCTCGCTGTGGCAGCATTCCAGTAAAACTGAGCCAGTGAGGGGTCTCTGTCTCACATCCCTCTTCAATCAAACACAAACACACACGTCCGGCCAGCCTGGCCCACGCTATCTTTCCCTGCCTCCTAGTGCCAGATGCACACACCCTGTGCTCTCCCTCTTTAGCACTCTCCACCTCCTCTTCCAACATTCCTCTTCTGCCTCCTCTTTCTCCTCAGCTTGCTTTTCCTCCTCCCCCTCCTCCCCCTCCTCCCCTCCAGTTCAGCACCCCTGTGCATCACATTGTCTCCCGACTCTTCATCTTTCTCCACTTCCTGTGTCCTGCTCCTTGTGCCCCCTACACCCCCTCCTCCTTCCTACCCCGCTTCTCTGGGCTTCTCTCTCTCCTTGCGACGTGACTTTTAGCACAGACAGTGGGGCCGCTGCCAGTAAACTGGGGCAGAACTAGCTGAAGATGTGCACTCGCACGCTGTGGTGTCCATGTACAAGTCTCACTGACATATCCAAATGGACACCTCAACAGATGTGATTCACACCAATTCAGATTTGGTGTCTTTGATTCTGGCATCCTGTGAATGGGCAAAAAATGATAGGAATAGCTAAATATGTGCTCATCGCTTATTCGCTTTCTTGCCGGGATACCAGTACCACTGGATGGATACTTTAGCATAGCAGAAAGCCTGGAAACAGCTGCTAACGTGGCTCTGTCTATCCTACCAACCCTTAAACATTGATGTCTAAATGTGTATTAAATTAGAGGAACATAATAAATACTAAAGCTTTTTTTTATGGAATGAAGCTTTTTTTATGGAATGAGGAGTCACTGATTGGTTTGATGTGAATAAAAATTATGCAAATCATGTGTTGTGGCCTTCACAATCACCAGATCTTATCCCAATGAAATGAGCTATGCATTAGTGAGCACTTTCTACCACTACCATTAAAATATCATATATGGGGATATTATTTATTAAAATGGTGTTAAATCCCTACTGTAGAGCTCCAATTGTAGAATCTGTGACTTTATAAGCAATGAAGCTGCTGTGCAGACTCGTGGTGACTCGTGGTATGATCCTAATTTGTTACATTGTGCCACCAAGCTTCACTTGACAACAATATGCACCATGCACCTTACATCAAATCTAGTGGCTTCTAAGTATGTAATGACATAAGGTTTTCAGCTTAATACCACAAACAATATTTATAGCTGTTTGGGGGATTGTGCTCATGACTCAGCTGAGAAACAGTTTTTTTTTTTATATATGATCGTGAGAATGAAACAAGAACCCCCGTTTGCTTAAAGAGAGCAATTGAAAGAAATAAAGAAATAGAGAAGGACAGAAGGAAGGAAAGAAAGAAAGAAAAAAGGAAAAAAGAAAGAAAGAAAGAAAGAAAGAAAGAAAGAAAGAAAGACAAGTTGCAGCTGTACAGGAAGTGAGGATGATGCCAGTGGAGGGCATGAGAGCAATCAACAGAGTGTTCTCACAGGAGACACACTCAGTCCACAACACGTGGCATAGTGAAGCCTGGTTGTCCAGACATGTTGTTGTGTGTCTGCGTGTGTTATCAGGAGGTCGAAGATGGAGACAGAAGACGTCGGACCATCCCGCTCTCTGTGTTTACACTCAGTCTAAACAGCAGACCAGCCACTGAGGCTAATGGGGTTCTAATCTACAGCTGGATGACACACACATGTCGTCTTCTGAGCTTCCCAAACAGACCAGTAACCTCTCTGTGCCACATGTGCATGTACAACATACTCTCACTCTTCCAATAATGTATTTTTTATAGGTTTTACTGAAGGTAATGTTAGTTTTTTATATTTTATTTACAGTACATTCATTTTGCAGATTTTTCCTAAGCAGCTTTTTTCTCCACCCATGGGAAGCAATGTGAGGTTCAGTGTCTTACTCAAACAGGAGGAGTCAGGGATTAAACCAACTTGACAATTAATGGACAACCCACTTTACCACCTGATCTATCACCAGAGCTACAGCTTCCTTGTACTTGTTGCTTGTTGTTGAGCAAAAATAAGACATTTGCAAGGTTTTATTTTAACACAAAAAAAGAGCAAATAGACACAGGCACACACTGAGACCGAGAAATGCACATACATACAGAAACCTCACCCCTGCTTTCTTCTCACCTTTAGAGTTCCAGTATCTACACCCAGCTACACACACACACACACACACACACACACACACACACACACACACACACACACACA